CTTGAATTCATTGTGTATCTCTTGTGTGGACCTGGCGTTCTTGACCCTTCTGCCTCTACCTACTGAGTGATGGTATTACATGCATCCACCACCACTACAGCTTTGTCATGACCTTTTTATGATACTCTGTGATTTTTGAGCTCACTAGCTTTTTTTTTTTTGGCGGGGGGGGGGGCATTCAAGGCAGGGTCTCTCTGTATAGCCCTGGCTGTCCTGGAACTCACTCTGTAGACCAGGCTGGCCTCGAACTCAGAAATCTGCCTGCCTCTGCCTCTGCCTCCCAAGTACTGGGATTAAAGGCGTGCGACATGTGTACACTTTTTAATCTCAACCTTCTCCCATGTGGTAACCCCCCTCCTCCCAGAACTTGGCTGACTCCTTCTCCCTTCCTTTGTGGTGGTTCTTTTTAAACTAGCCAATTGCAAAGGACTGTGAAAGGTCCCAGACAATGTAGGAAAAATAATTGCCATCTGCATTAAAATAAAAACCAAGAGAACTTCCTGTCCTAGCTGCTTGCTAGCTTGGTCAGGGTTCTGGGTTCTTTATACAGAGAGTTGCCTGGCTGAGCTGCTTCTGCCTTGTTTGTGTGTTCCTCTGTGACAGTGAAGATTTTTCTAACACACTAGATCTCATTATGCCTGGCACACTGCTTCATCTCAGCAAACAAAAGTAGTTAAGGAGAAATTGTTATTAATTGTTTTAAGCTACACATAGTAGCACACTGCTGTGAAGCAGAAGGATCCTAGGAAGTGTAAGGTAAATCTGGATGGGAGGGAGGGAGGAACACACACAGACATTTGCATCGTGAATTCAGGGTATCCTGGCTATGTAGCACTACTCTGTCTAAAACAAAGTCAGAACACTGTTGATGTGAATTTAATTCTAACCAATGAAAGAAAACCCAACTGATCAAAATAGAAGTCTGAGAATTCTAGCCAGTCAGTGAAAGGAACTCGCACAACTGGCTTTGAGAAAGCTAACTGCAAAGGACTCAGATGAGATATAGTCCAAATAGTTGGCGGCTCAAAATAAACCAAAGAGACGGGCTGGAGAAATGGCACTTGCTGCTCTTGTAGGGTTTGTTTGTTTGTTTGTTTGTTTGTTTTTTCGAGACAGGGTTTCTCTGTGTAGCCCTGGCTGGCTGCTCTTGTAGTTAACTGAGTTCTGTTCACGTAGTCACTGGTCAGCTCTCTCTGGGCTCCACCTCTGGGGGACCCAACGCTCTCTGGCTGCTGAGGACACCTACACATGTATGGCTGACATACACATATTCAAGAACATACACATAAAATGAATAACTGAATCTTTAAGGGGTAGCACAGGGAATCTAAGAAGAAATTCCAATACGTATTACCTCCAGAGGGAGTAACGAGCAACTTTTATTTTAATCTTAAGAATGCTAGTGATGCCGGGCAGTGGTGGCGCACGCCTTTAATCCCAGCACTTGGGAGGCAGAGGCAGGTGGATTTCTGAGTTCAAGGCCAGCCTGGTCTACAGAGTGAGTTCCAGGACAGCCAGGGCTATACAGAGAAACCCTGTCTCGAAAGAAAAAATGAAGGGGGTGGGTGTGTGTGCATACAAACTTTGTAAGATGGGAAGACTTACAGAATATTGGCCCTTGGCAGCAAACTATCTTTGATAACAGAAAACCATTCCTCACAGTAGCACTAGTTACAGTTTTCAGTCTCAGAGATAATTATAAATTCCAATGACTGAGTGACCAGCAGTTTATGTCCACATTGTATTGGTCCTCTCTGCATGTTCTTCCAAAAAGCACCTGACTCAGCCCTGGAGGTCCACACAAGGCCACAGCTTCTTAGTATAACAAGGTTGCTTTCCCTCATCTCTGTCCCGTTTCAGTAATGTGCAGCTTTTTCCTAAGATTTATTAGTACTCAACAGCATGTCCTCCCATTCTTAAGGACTTGGGCTGTATTGGTGTGTGAATGTCCAGGGCCCATGGAACGGTCCCTTTAGTTTTTCCTGAGGACTGAGCAGGCTGTAATTCTTGTTTTTGAAGTAGGTCTTGCTGTGTTGCCCACGCTGGGTTTGAGTCCTCATGGAATAGGTAGCAGCACAGGCGCCTGTCTTAGACTCCTGCCTTGAATTTTACATCAGTTTCATTTGTAGCAGCTCATTTCTAGAGATTTTATTTTTTGTATTTCTTTAGTGCCAGAGATGCTTTTTTCCTGTGATCATACTAACATGACAAAAGTAAGAATGTTCCCTGGATGTTGGTAGACACTTATACTCACTGCCTTGGAGGCTGAAGCAGGAGGATTAAAAGTTCAAGGCTAGCCTGGGTTTCATGGTTCATTCTGGGGTACATAAACATTGTGAGACCGGGCTGCCAAAAGAAACGGTGTGTCTGTCAATACAGGCGCTCAGGGACCCAGGGTGGGGTCTCAAGATAAGCAATCCTCCTGCATTAGCTTCTCAGAATTAAAGGGATGGACCATCATATCCATTATTCCTCTAAAAAGATGTCTTTAGAAAATCCTTCAGGGGGCTGGAGAGATGGCTCAGTGGTTAAGAGCACTGACTGCACTTCCAGAGGTCCTGAGTTCAAATCCCAGCAACCACATGGTGGCTCACAACCATCTGTAATGAGATCTGATGCCCTCTTCTGGTGTGTCTGAAGACAGCTACAGTGTATTTATAATAAATAAATAAATAAATAAATAAATAAATCTTTAAAAAAAAAGAAAGAAAGAAAATCCTTCAGATGCTAAAGCCAGGGAATAGTTCAGTGGGCAAAGTGCTTGCCTGCTTGTGCTCGCGCGCTAGTGCTTGCTCTCCCTCCCTCCCTCCCTCCCCCCCCCGGCCCCGCCCCCCCCTCTCTCTCTCTCTCTCTCGTCTCTGTGTGTGTAGGTGTGTGGTATCTAAGAACAACTTGAAGGTGTTGTTGTTCTACCATGTGGATCCTGGTTTTTGTTTTGTTTTTTGTTATTTTTTTAGATTTATGTATTTATTTTATGTATGAATTTTATGTTGCTGTCTTCAGACACACCAGCAGAGGGCATCAGATCCCATTACAGATGGTTGTGAGTCACCATGTGGTTGCTGGTTGAACTCAGGACCTCTGCAAGAGCTGTCAGTGCTCTTAACCGCTGAGCCATCTCTGCAGCCCCAGTTATTAAATCTTATCATTGACTTATAAATCAGAATTAATTGTTCTTCAAAGGATTTTGTTTGCCTATTGTTATCTCACATAGCCAGCAAGTATTGGCCATATCAGAACGGCTGGATGTTGACTGGTTAACTGAAGCAAAGATAGGGAAGTTAGTTAAGGCTGAGGAACTGCTTTAAACTGATGAAGTAGAATCCTCTGGACAGTATAAAGTGTGAGTCTCAGTATCTGACTCACTGTCCTGTCTTCCTGTCGTCTTTGACCTGCTGCAGCCATCGGGATGAATTGTTACACACTGGTTTCCGGTCCTCCTCATTCACCATCCTATGCCCTTTTTCTTACTGTTGTCTCCTTCTCTGCCCTGTGTGGTGCTGAGACTGAAACCCTGGGACTTAGGTATACTAGACAAGTGTTGTATCAGCAAGTATCCTACCCCTTGTCCCCTTTATCCATTTTGATAGGACCCCTGTTATTGACAAAGTAGAAAATAGCAAGTTAAGGGCCAGCCATGTGGCTCAGTGGAACCGGAGTCCAATACCTGGAACTCACTTGATAGAAAGAACTGACTCTGAAAATCGTCCTTTCCACCCATAGGCCCTCCACCCACACTCATACATGTGTGCACACAATACACACAAATTATTTAAATGTAAATAAGCATTTTTTTTTGAAAAGTTTTATGGATATGGGTGTTTTGCAAGCTAGCCTCAGTTATGTAAGTAGTAAGACCCTGTCATCCCTGCTCCCAACCTACCCCCAGAAAAGTAGAGAAGTGTGCTCCTTTCTCCGGTGACTGCCTGTAGAGGGCTGGGAAGAGCTCAGGTCATGCTTAGGGACCTTGGTGAGGGAGGTGACATTACAGATAGCAGTTGCACCCTTTGAATTGAGGTGGGCAGAGAGTATTCCTTTCTCTCTCCCTCTTTTTCCCCTTCCCTCAGACACGTTTTTGTCCTTGTGTTTTGGATTGTTTTGTGTATGAGGAGAGCAGAGGCCAGCATCAGGTGTTGCTCCTTATGCTCTTCCTGTCTTATGTTTTGAGACAGGGTTTCTAGGTGACCCTGGAACTCAACAAGTGGACTAGACTGTCAGGGATTCTCCTTTCTCTGCCCCACCAGCTCCATGTCACCGTGTGTATCCTTTGTCATGCGTTCTGGAGATGAAATTGAAATCCTTACATTCTCAGGGCAAGCGCGTCAGTGCCTTTTCCCACTGAGCCTCTCACCGGCTCTGGACTGTTTTTGTTTGCTGTGGTGATTGTCTTTTAGAATGAAATGCAGTAGCCATGCCGGTTATCTCTGTATCATTCCAGTTTTAAATACATATACTGTCAAGATGGTTTTACTTTGAGACAGCATTTTAGTAAGTCCAGGCTGGTCTCAAACTTGAGGTCCTCTTAGCCTCCTGTGTGTTGTCTGTTGGGACTATGAACACCACACCTGGCTACTTCCCACCTCCCCCTGCCCCAAGTCAGGGTTTCTCTGTGTAGCTCCGCCTGTCTTGGACACCGGTTGACCTCAAACTCAGAGATCTGCCTGCCTCTGCCTCCCGAGTGCTAGGATTAAAGGTGTGCGCCGCTAGGCCTGTACTTCTCACTTTATTCAGCTTGACATGCACATTCTCAGTCAGATACCCAAGCATGTCCGTTTATTAGTAGCCCTGGAGGGAGCGGCTGCTCTGTGCGCAGAGGCTGCTTTATGAGCTCCTGGTGGCATCTCCTGTCTTTGTACTACTTGATTTTCAGGTCCAAACACTGGGAAAAAAAAAAAGTTAGTCTTGATTTGTGTATAGATAGTGTTTGTGATTTAATGTAAACTGTTTTTTTTCTTGTTTGCAGTGATGCTAATTTTGTTTTTTTTCCTCTATCTTCATAGGTTGGTGACATTGTGAAAGTCACAAGGATGAATATCAATGGCCAATGGGAAGGCGAGGTGAATGGGCGCAAGGGGCTTTTCCCCTTCACACATGTAAAAATCTTTGACCCTCAGAACCCCGATGACAACGAGTGATTGCTGTGCCGTCCCCGCTGCTGCCTCCTCTGCCTGTCAGTCTCCTTTGAAGTGGGAAGCACTCTGTCACATGCAAGTTACACCGAGCTGCTGGTGGCCAGCTTTCCATACATTGGTGGTCCCTGCACATTTGGAGCCTCAGCAGCTGCCTCGCTCGCTCGCTCTCTGGCTCGGTCTGCATTTGTATCATAGTCATGCTGTCAAAGAGTAGCTGATTTTAGAGTTCTTGTGGATTATGAACTGGAAACACTGGTGGAAGCACACAGTAGAGACAGTTTAACCCAACGCGGCTCGTCTCTTCCCCTCGTCACTGCCTTGTTTGTACTGGAGACCGATTGTCGTGCTTGCCATAGACAGTGAGCCTGCTGATGGTCTGCATGGTGAGGCTTGACAAGATCTTGCTGTTGCTGGTCCACAGAACGGTGGCTTTGCCACCAACCTGATTTTCTTTGGACAGCAGAGGAAGTTAAACTCCAGACATTTCTGTCCTGAACTCCTGAAGTCTGGCTTGTTTTCATTTTCTTTTGTTTAGTTTTGGTTTTGGAAGACTAATTAATTATAGTTGTGTGTTCTAAACAGATTTTTAAATAGTAGGTTGGATTTTTCTGACAGTCTAAGGAACAATCCATGTCCCTGAGCTTCCAAACTGAAGCCACTGTATGTAACTACCAATATGAAAAGACCCCTGAAGTCGAGGCCTTTATCTTTGGGTTGCCACAGTACCTTGTGACCATGTGGCAAACACTGCCCACGAGTGGCAGTCCTGGTGTGCTGTGCTGTGCTGTGAAGCACCAAGGTAGGGGTGGGCCTGTTGCTGTCATTGCTGCCTCTGACAGGAGCAGACAGTGTGGACCTCTTTGGTGAGCATACCCCTTTGAGAAGGTAGTGAGTCTGTGTGCTTACTAGATTCACAAGTTAAATTGCGTTGCTATATTCCACCACAAAGGCCACTTGGCACTTCCTGTACAGACCTAGCTTGTCCAGACAGCTTGAGAGTGGTTATGGTTGTACAGCCTGAGTAGAACCAGAACACAGTGCTTCTGAGCAAAAGAAGATGCCCATCAACCATGAGCCATTTTTCCTGCATGTCAGCTAGTACAGATGTGTGTCTGATTCCTCATCCACACATGGCAAACCAGAGTTCTAAGAACCTTTCTATAGTGCTCTCTTTTCAGCTGGACCCTGATGAGGACAAACCTCCACACAGAATGCAGCAGACCTAGAAATGTAGCAGTGATTAGTGAGTAGCCTAGCATTTACAGAGTATCTTCTGTAATGACGGCCTTGGCTCTGGAGCCCTTAGGCTTTGAGAACTAATGAAACATATTCAAATGACAAAACCATTTGTCCAGTATATTTATTTCTCTTAAAGACTTTTTAAAAATTTTGTTTATGTTGGGTATGGTGGCCACACCTTTAATCCCAGTACTCAGAAGGGCAAAAGCAAGATCTTTTGAGAGTTCAAAGCTATCCTGGCCTTTAGTGTCACAGGACAGGCAGGCTTACAGGCAGGCTTACATACAGAGACCTTATATCAAAAGACTGTGCCCCACTCCAAACCCCCCCCCCCAAAAAAAAAAAACTGTATATGGGTGTTTCTACTGCATGTATGTATGTGTATCACATGGGTACAGTCCCTAAGAAGGCCAGAACACGGTGTTGGTTGGATCCTCTGGAACTGTGGAGTTTTACTATGTGGGTTCTAGGAATTGAACCTGGGTCCTCTGCAGGAGTAGCAAGTGCTCTTAACCACTGAGCCATCTCTTGAGCCCCATTAGTTTCTCTTTAAATCAGTAGTTCATCAGGCTGATAAGTGCCATAGTAAAGAGTGTTCATGTGACAAAGTAATGGTCATCTGGGGTTTGGGAGAACGTCTGTCTGTGGTAGAGGTTACTTCTCTGAAAGCCGCCATTTCTAGCCAAGGACCTATTTAGTGGACATAAGTGTTCAGGCCCCAAACTCTGCCTAGAACAAGACTTAAGACTCATTCTCATTCATTCATTCATTCATTCATTCATTCATCCTCCTTCCCCCCACCCCCCTCTCTTGCCAGGCAGTAAAGTGCCTTTAATCCCAGCACTTGGGAGGCAGAGGCAGGAGGATTTCTGAGTTCAAGGCCAGCCTGGTCTACAGAGTGAGTTCCAGGACAGCCAGGGCTACACAGAGAAACCCTGTCTCGAAAAAAACAAAAAGAAAAGAAAAACAAACAAACAAAAAAGACTCACTCTCTGGCCAGTTACACAGTTTCAGCCCTAGGCCTTTGATGCCTCCACTGAAATACATGCCTTGTTCATGGAGGGCACAACCCACAAGGAATTGCATCTTGTCACTGGGGCTTGAGCCTCATGCCTTACACATGCTCGATAGCCGTCTGCCAATGAGCTCTCTTTTTAAATTTAAGATGAAATCTCTATAAATTGCCCATGCTGGCTTCAAGATTTCCATCCTAGCCTCAGCTGAAATTACAAAGGTTTGAGTCACCACACCCAGCTCTTAAAGGTCTTTTAAAATACATTTAACTGAAGAGCTTGGTGCCGCTTGATTATAGCAGCTTGGTCAACACAAGCAGCCATTTTTGAGAACAGGGTTTCCCTTCTCCCAAGACTGTTAACCAAGCAAGACTCCATAAGGAATACTTCATAATCAGAATGACCCGAAACCCTGGAATTTGGTTTATGTAATCAATTAATTTGGCACATTTAAATGTCTCTACAGCTTCTTCAGAGATCCAGATCTCAAAGACTCAACTTTCTGAACTCTCAGGATATGTGCCAACAATAGTAATTTCCTGATTTAGAAGCTCATTGGTTTTTAATCATGAAAATCTTTTCACTGATAGAAAGCGCCATCTTCCCTAAGTCCCACTCTTCTAGAAGGGCACTTGGCCTCGGGAGTGTGATGGGGGCTTTCCGTTTTCATCATCAGTGCTGTATGGTCTGCTCTGCTATGTTACAGAAAGGACTGGGATGGCAAACCCACTTGCCATGGCTTTTCTATCTGAGAAGGAGACAATTAGGTAGTCGAGGGCATTAAGGGCTAATCCTAGGTGACAGCCCCTCACCCCCAACCCCCACGCAGAAGGCACGCTTGTTACTTCTGCACTGCTTTGATGCCCTCTGTTTCGTAGTTAACGGTGCACTGGCTTTGGTCACCCAGACTGAACCCTCTGTGCTCACCGGAAGAGACGTTGTACTCTCTCTTGGAGTTGCACGTTCCTGGCACTGTGCCAGCCTTCCTCTACAGCTGTTTACAGACAAGATGGGCCAAGACTGATGGCCACTGCTCTTGTAACCTTTGCTCAAAAGAATAATGAGCATTTTTTTTTTTAAAAAGGGATGATGTGTTTTTGTTCCAGGTGTTCATAATTTAATCTTTTAATATTATATTCATTAACCTCTTAAAATGAGTGAATTCCTGATTGTTTTAACACAGTACCTAAGACTAATGCTTTCTGTGGACTCCTCACCATTGAACCAGAGACCCACATCCCTGGTAACTGCTGTGAGCGTGGACACTGAGCTGCTTGTATATTCTGAAGGAGCAGGAGGACAGTTCTCTGAAACAGGAGGAACAGTGGCCTTGCTTCTAGACAGTCTTCACTGTGTGTTTTAAAATGACATAAAACTCTTTTGACATGTATAACTTAAAGATCATAAGCATCAGGCAATAATATTTTCTGTGTAAGCTTTTAAAATTATTTTTGGGGATCATAGCTTGTTTTATTTTGTGCTATAAAATTAACAGTATTAAATGACTTATATTCTTAGAATACATTGAGTGTCTTTTCTTAACAGATTAGTGCCTTTTTATTTTTGTATTCCATTTTACGTTACTGGTCCCAGCATCAAAACCCTTGTTTCCATGGACTGTTTGTACATTGTCTCAATAAAACTTGCACCAGCCGGCAGTGGCAGCAGCCTTGGTGTTTCAGTGTCTCCTCAGTCAGCCCCACCAGACTCTCCAACAGTTAAACTGTCCTGAAGCCCCTGCTACTCCCCAGAGACCCACTCATATTGCTCCTCCTCACTCACTCAAAAATGACAGCTTCCTAACATTGAGCCTCCTCCAAAAAGGAGATACTGTGGTGGTTGTTGTGGGTGCCTTGGAAGCCTGGCACTTACTCAGCATTCCGAACAGGAGGTGCACTCAGTGAACCAGGAGTTGTTTTTCCTCCCAGCACCTGTACCTGGAGGCTCTGCTCTGCTGAGTATTTGCTGAGCATTAACTAATAACCATGAGGAGCTCTGGTCAGGGAGAGCAAGCTGTCCTGTCTGATGTCTACTGCCATTCCTGTCTGTATATGAATCTCCTTGTGAGCTTGGAGCATCTTTGGGGAGGGAACTTATGTTCCTTAAGCAGTCCTTAATTCAAATGTCACAGAGTGTTTGCTAAGTGATAGTGAACGCCTTCAGTCACAGCATTTGGGAAGCAGAGGCAGGTGGATCGACAGTGAGTTTCAGGATAGCCAATCTACATAGAAGAACCCTGTCTCAAAACAACCTACTTTGCTGGGCTCATGTTTCCCTTCTATAAACCCAATAAGCATGTTTCATCTTTTATGTACACTTTATTCACATGCCTATCTATATGTGTATCAAGATGTTCAACCCCTTAGACCTTGAATCTGCCTGCCTCTCTGGGACTGTAGACATGTGCAGGCTTGCTTGTAATCTTATCTGTCCACCCGCAGTATCTTAGGAGGTAAGGAGAAAGAAGCACTGCCCTGTTGCAGGCTTGCCCCTTAGGTACCCAGACCTCCAGCTACTAGGATGTTCTGACACCACCACACACCTCCACCCCAAGCCTCAGCACCAGCAGCTCAGATGCAGATCCATTCCCATTCTGATGGATCTGAGTGCTAGAGGATGACATACAGGTTTTAGAACCACTGTGCCAGCTCCATAAACCTGGCGAGGAGCTGTCCATCTAATGCCTTCTGAATTAAAAGGTCCCATAGAGTTCAGACTAACCCTTCCCTTGGGAATACCAAGGCCATGACTGTGGTGGCTGGGTGTTCCCCTGTGCTCCTCCAACCACCACCTCCATTTACTTCAGGTACAATTAGTCTTTGGGCCTGAGTGACATCAGCCCAGCAGCATCCAAGTAAGGCAGAGTCCAGATAGTGCACAGAGCTGCCCTCCCCAGTGCAGTACTGGAAAGGTTTGTTCCAAACCCCTCTGTTGCATACCCTTGGGTCACCTGGACTTGAACCACAGGCCTCACTGGCCAGTTCTTGAGAGGCTTGATAGGATACCTTGTGCTCCAACTCTTGCACCCCATAACCCAGCCCCAAGAAAGAGCCACAATTGTCAGTGGTGTGACTGCCCTGCCTCCCAGGTGTGGGATGTCATCCTTGGAGAGAGGGTGAGAGGAACCCAGAAAGGGTCCAACCCTTCTGTACACTCCCTCTGTGGGGTGGGGGTGGGGAGCTGGCAAGGTCTGATGGACAGAGAATAGGAGGCCATGGTGGCTGTGTTCTGATAGATTCCCCCTCCCCCATTTTCTGACAAAATGGTTCCTTATATCCATGTCTTGCCAGAGACAGGTAAACTTACCAGAATGTCCACATCAAACTAGCCTCCAAGGGGCACCTATGTCACCAGTCCCAAAGCTAGCTGTTGGGACTAGGTCACCTTTTCCTTTCTGTCTGTCTGTCTGTCTGTCTGTCTGTCTGTCTGTCTTTACTTCTGTACCACCTTCTTATGAGGCAGGGTCTCTATATAGCTCTGCCTACTCACTCTGTCTTGAAGAGTGGCTTTGTCTCTCTGTCTGTCTCTGTCTCTCTTTTGTGATACAGCTCATGCTGGCCTCAGACTTCTGATGTCCCTGCCTCTACCTCTCAAATTCTGGGATTACTTACAGACTACAGCAGAGAGGTTCCCTAAGTGCAGAACTTGGACTCCGTCGATTGGGCTCGGGGTGGAGATCTTTTCCCTCCAATTCTCACATCTCAGACACCAGAACAGAGGACTCAGCCTGTCTGTTCAAGTCCTAGCCCTGTCACCTAGCAGCTGTGTGCCCTAGCGGGGAGGGGTCCCTAACTTCTCTGAACCTCAGTTTCCCCATGCCCTGACTAGTTGTGAAGAATAGATGCTATCACCCCTGCGGGTGTATAACTAATCTCAGCTCTCAAGAAGCAGCTGAAATGCAAGTTCAAAGCCTGCCTGGGCAATTTAGTGAGACCTTGTCTCAAAAGTACAAGAACATAACCAGCAGTGGACGCACAGAGGGAGGCAGATCTCTGAGTTCAGAGCCAGTCTGGTCTACAGAGTTCCAAAACAGCCGGGGCTACACAGAGAAACTCTTGTCTCAAAAACCAAAAAAAAAAAAAAAGAGAGAGAAAAATACAAGAGCAGTTGAGGATGTAGGTTAGTAGCAGAGTGTCCATCGAGCATGCGTGAGACCATGG